CTCTCTCTTCAAAACTCTTCCAAAAACAGAAAAGTAAAGAAAGAAAGGGAGAGAAAAGAAATGAGTGGACAAGAATTTGGGCATGGGGGTAATTTTCCCGGACTCGCAAAAATGAGTTTGTTCCGAGAAAAATAGAAATGGGCATGATCGAAAGATTTAAATTCAAACTCATTTGAAATTCAAATGGGTTTGAACTAGGACTTGATGAAAGGAAGGTCAAAAAATGTTCGGATTTTTGGTGGAGCTCCGGAAAATGATGAAATAAATTATTGGACAATGTTTGAGGTCAAAGGCATGGGGAATTATTTTGCAAGTGTGTTTTGGTGATTCCGAAACAATGGAATATTTTATTATAGCTCCCTAATATCGGAGGATATGTTATAAAGAGAAGTCACCATGTGAGTCCCTCGATTTAAATGGATCGAAAAATCCATACAATTTATTAGTTGAGGTTTAAAAAAATAAATGACATGATGGCATGATGCAATGCAAATGATGCAACAAACAAAACAAATCACACGACGAAACTCGGAGTAGCTGGAAGTCTTCTGGAGCGTCGGTCTCGGGGCGTTACAACCTGCCTCCCTTCTTCTGTGTCTCCAGCTGCTGCATCAGCATCAAATGAGAAACAATAATGCCCAAAAGCAGAGCACGAACACCAGCCAAGAGAAGAATAGTAGCATTACTCACTCAAACTTGTTGGATCCACCTGTAGGATGAAGATGAACTCGATCAAACTGCCAGTGATCCTTCGTCTTTGACTTCCTCTGGGGCGGCCGCGTTGCCGTTTACATTGGGGCCATGGTGTCCCTAGAGACCTCACCAGCACGCCCGACACGACAGTGGCTGCCCGAGCCCGGGCCTCCATGCCAGCGACGCTGCGGCGCGGACGGGAGGCCCCCGATCCAAGAGCGGATCAAGCCACCACCGACCCCGAGACCACGCCCGACCTTGCCGGCGCCGACCGGTGAACCTACCCCGTCCGCCGTCGTACCTCCCTTTTCTCTTTCCTATCTCTTTATCCCTCCTCTCCTTCCTTCTCTCTCCCTCCTCTCTCATCTTCTCTCTCCTGCACTGGTCGCCGGGGGAGAGGAGAGAACGAGCAGCTCGAGACGGAGCAAAGTCGGTCACCTCCATCGGACGAAGAGGAGGGGTTGAGCCATGGAGGAGCGGTAGCAGCGGCTGGTGGTGGAGGGAGGATCGAGGAAGAGGGATGAGGAAGGCTGCAGGATCGGAGGAAAAGAGTTTGCTTCCCTACAAAGGCATTGTGCCCAATCACAAGGAGGTGCTATCTAGCGGCATTTTTTCTATCGCTTTTTTCTTCTTCTCACGCATGATAACGCAATTGGCCGGGCACAAAGCTCTCTCCCGATTGGCCTCCCACAACAGTTCGCCTATGATGACGTGGCTCACTCTATGGATCGCCATTTACGTGACTGTTAATGGGTTTTATGGGTAGTTCGTTCGAAACCCCACGGGCGAAACTTTTACAGATTAAAATTGTTGATTTATATTACTTAATTCAAAGATATAAAACTTGTGTATGCTTATGCATCAGCAAGTGAACTCTGGGCGGGTGGTTAGCCGCGCGCTGTGGTTAGACCACGGTCACCAGTATGAATCCCTCTGCATCATATTTTTCATTCTAACAAAAATTGCGATGTTTTACTGAGAAGTGAGACCCACCAGATGCCACACGTCTAACAGGTGCCTTTTCGTGAGAAAAAATAAATAAATAACTAAGGGTGCTTTTGCAAAAAGAGCACGCCACATGCCCAGCCTTCACTATGCAGTCACTGACAGCGGGCCCTATGCCACGATGCCATGCCTCGTCAGTGTTGCGGCCGTATACAAACAAGATTTGCACCATATTTGCATGTCCAAACCAAGTTTTTGCACCACTTTAATGTATCCCGCAAGTTCTAGCACTAAAGTGACCGTTTGCGCCAAGTTCTAGCACCACTGGTGTAATTGACTCTTATCTATGTACTACCTTTGTCCTGGTTTACAGGCCCCTTTTATATTTTGTGTCAAATTTTGATCATAAATTTAACTAACAAAATATGAATGCATGCCATAATTAAAAAATTACATCCTTTGATTCGTATTTGTACATAGTTTTCAATGTTGCTATTTTTAGTGACATGCATTAATATTTTGTTAGTTAAATTTAAAGTCAAAATTTGGCACAAAACATGAAGGTGACGAATAAAGTAGGACGGAGGTAGTGCAAAACATTCAAGACAAATCCGGTGTTGGATCGCGAGCCAAGAAAAGAAATTGACTTTTGGTGGAGCCCAAGCCTTTCATGTCACGGGATCCATCGGGGAAAGAGTCCTCCCAAGAAATTATGCTTTTATATGCGGTGGACGCCGGGTGGATTTCATCATTGGAGTGCTTCCAGAGAATGTCATCCTCCACAAGTTCATCAAGAGGGAAGCCATGCACAAGCATCCAAACTCCAAAGGGAAAAAAACTCCCAATGTGGGCAGCCGAGATGATAGTGTTCTGTTTGGTCTTAAGGATCCAAGCGTTATCTTTAAGGGCTTCATGCACCTTTCAATTCTTACTTCTTGAGGCTTCAAAGATGCGATGCAATGTCCTTAGGCTTACGCCCAAGGAGCCATGAGGAGTCCCAAAATGATGTCTTTGTGCCATTGCCCACGGTGATAGTGGTGGAAGCATATAAAAAATTTAGGTCCTTGTCAGTGCACGGATTTCCAAGCCTCACACACAACTTGTTGGGTTCTTTCCATTCATACCATGACCAACGAAGGCGCAGAGCTCTCACAAATTTGTTAGTGTTTAGGACATACGCCAAGATCACCGTACTCACTGGGGCAGCATACAATCTTGCAGTTGACGTTGCGCTTAGCGCCGATCGTCTTGTTGAAGCCGGACCAAAGAAAAACCCGCTCAATTTTGTTCAGGTTTTGGAGCGTGTGCTCAGCAGGACGGTGAGAGGCGTGATGGAGTACACCGGTCAACTTGGGAGGAAACCACAAACTTAACAAGCAAAGTTCAACCAGTGGTAGTTACAGTTTCTGGAAATAGGAAATACACACGGTCGATGCCGCCTCAATCTTTCGGTGTCCATCTCCCCCATGCATCAGAAACTCAAATCTAACCAGCACTTGTTCGGAGGCAAGGAAGCCTAAGAAAATTCGTCCGGCCTACAGATCAGGCCTAAAACATCCGTCGGTGCTGGCCTATGGCTGTGCGGCCTTAGTTCTGCCTCACCATTACCCACCGTGCATTTGAGAAGCCAGGCTCACCTCTCAGCGTCCCAGCTGAGGTATTATCTCGTGCTCACTGAAGGCGACGGGAGCGCAAGATGACTGCCCAATAGATCTAATCATTAGAGTGCTTCCAGAGAATGTCATCCTCCACGAGGTCATCAAGAGGGAAGTCATGCACATGCGTCTAAAGAGTAAAAAACTCCCAGATGTGGGCAATGGAGACGATAGTGTTTTGTTTGATCTCGAGGATCTAAGCGTTATCTTTAAGGGCTTCACTCTCATTTAAATTCTTCCTTCTCGAAGCTTCAAAGATAAGGTGTGATGTCCTTTGGCTTACGGCCAAGGAGACATGGGGAGTCCTAAAATGGTGTCTTTGCGCCATTGCCCACGGTGATAGTGGTGCAAGCATATAAAAAATCTAGGTCTTTCTTGGTGCATGGATTTTCAAGCCTCACACACAGCTTGTTGGGCCCTTTCCATTCATACCATGGCCAATGAAGACGCAGAGCTCTCACAAATTTGAGTGTTTAGAACGCCAAGGCCACCGTACTCACTCGGGCAGCATACAATCTCCCATTTGACATTGTGCTTAGCGCTGGTGGTCTTGTTGGAGCCAGACCAAAGAAAAGCCCGCTCAATTTTGTTGAGGTTTTAGAGCGTGCTCAGCGGGACGATGAGAGGCGTGATGGAGTACACTGCTTAGGAGGAATTGACCGACTTAGCAAGCAAAGTTCGACCAATGGTAGTTACAGTTTCTAGACAAAAAAAATGCACACGGCCGATGGCGCCTCAATCTTCCGGTGTCCATCTCCCCCATGCTTCAGAAACTCAAATCTAACCAGCAATTCTTCGGAGGCAAGGAAGCCTAAGAAAATTCGTCCGGCCTGTAGACCGGGCCACGTTAGGGCCGGCCTAAACATCCGTCGGTGCCGGTCTACGGCTGTGCGGCCTCAGTTCTGCCTCACCGTTCCCACCGTGCGTTTGAGAAGCTAGGCTCACCTCTCAGCGTCCCAGCTGCAGAATTGTCTCGTGTGGGCCGAAGGCGACGGGAGCGCAAGATGACTGCGCACCGGTCAAAACGAGGGTGAATCGCCTTGGAACAACGCTGACTCTACTATTCGTATGTACGTAAGGCCAAACGGTTGGCGTCCACGCACACATGGCTCCAGGCGTCCGTGAGCATGGAACTGATGAAAAAAGAGAGATCGTTCAATGTTTTGCATATATCTGCCCGATAAACTCCAAGAGAGATCGCTCAAGTTGGCCAGGTTGGTGTTGGCGGTAGCGAGTAGCGACTCAAGCTGGAAGCTGCCGCAGCCTAAGCCTTGGATGCATGCGCGACCCTTCCTTCCAAATAAGCTTGTCGATCGATGCCAATATGCCATCTACTCCCTCATTTTCGGTTTATAAGGCTCAATTCAAAAATCTCATCAACCAAGATAGACGATGAGTGGTGGAATATTTTTTGTAGTTTGCAAAAGCACCCAATTAATGCTCTTGTTTTTCTCAGAAAATTGTATTTACGAATGCATTAATTGCAATGCATGCATGCATAAAGTGAATGTTGGAAGCTCTATCCTTAGTAGGAGACCGTGGGCGATCTGCATATGCACGTGAGCTGAATCTTTGGCTATAAATATGCATGCGATGCACTACTCTCTTGCACAAGCCACCAAGTCACCACCGCTCCAGTAAGAAGTGCAGGTAGCTAGTAAGCAGGCGTGGCTTTGCTCTTCAGCTCTTGTAGCTAGTTAGCTAACCATGGCCGCCTCAGCGTCCTGCATTTCTCTGGTGGTGCTCGTGGCTTTGGCCACGGCGGCGTCGGGGCAGTTGTCGCCGACGTTCTACGACACGTCGTGCCCCAGGGCTCTGGCCACCATCAAGAGCGGCGTCATGGCCGCCGTGAGCAGCGACCCTCGGATGGGCGCGTCACTGCTCCGGCTGCACTTCCACGACTGCTTCGTTCAAGTAAGTTGGCCACATGCATGCATGGCCTGATAGCCGTCACGTACCCGGTTTTCTATCGGTTTTGCTTGCTGAATGCTGAACACTATGCGTATGTGATGTGCAGGGCTGCGACGCGTCTGTTCTGCTGTCTGGCATGGAACAAAACGCTATCCCGAACGCGGGGTCGCTGAGGGGCTTCGGCGTCATCAACAGCATCAAGACGCAGATCGAGGCCATCTGTAATCAGACCGTCTCTTGCGCTGACATCCTCACCGTCGCCGCCCGCGACTCCGTCGTCGCCGTAAGAATATCATCTTACGATCATGTAGATCATCGACTGGATGCTCGGCATCTTTTACACCATCGTTAACCGTTTGTTTGCCTTTTGTTTGAATTCTTCGCGTGCAGCTCGGGGCCCGTCATGGACAGTCCCTTTGGGGAGAAGAGATTCCATAGATGCAAACGAGGCAGAGGCAAACAGCGAACTTCCAGGCTTTAATTCTAGCCGCTCAGAGCTCGAGGCAGCATTCCTCAGGAAGGGCGGACTCAATACGGTCGACATGGTGGCCCCCTCGGGCGCGCACACCATCGGCCAGGCGCAGTGCTCGACCTTCCGGGCTCGGATCTACGGCGGTGACACCAACATCAGTGCGGCCTATGCGGCGTCGCTTAGGGCCAACTGCCCCAGACAGTGGGCTCCGGTGACGGCAGCCTGGCGAACCTGGACACGACGACCCCCAACGCGTTCGACAACGCCTACTACACCAACCTCATGTCACAGAGGGGGCTCCTGCACTCGGACCAGGTGCTGTTCAACAACGACACCACTGACAACACTGTCCGGAACTTCGCTTCGAACCCGGCAGCGTTCAGCAGCGCCTTCACGACCGCCATGATCAAGATGGGCAACATCGCGCCGAAGACAGGGACGCAGGGCCAGATTAGGCTCAGCTGCTCCAGGGTGAACTCATAATTGACAGACGAGTTACTGTCTACTAGTCAGCACCACACGTGAATGAATAAGACCACAGAACCAGTGACCAATATGAATACCAGCTCTTTGAAAACTTGTATTTTATGTACGAGCAGCAGCAAATCATGCATGCATCTACATATATATGTAACGATCGCATTCCCACTTTCTCATGCAAAGACATGGAGAATTGCTATCGATCCTACTTATACTACTTCCTATGTCCAGGTGCATAGGGCATCTAATGATTTTCATATGAAAAGAATTATGCAAAGAAATTATCCAATTCCGATGCATGCTCTCGTGAAGGTTATCTCTGAGGTTTAGGTTTCTACTCCCTCCGTTCCAAAATATTTGTCTTTCTAGGCATTTCAAATGGACACAACATACGGATGTATGTAGACATATTTTAGAGTGTAGATTCACTCATTTTGCTTCGTATGTAGTCACTTGTTAAAATCTCTAGAAAGACAAATATTTAGAAACGAAGAGAGTAGTTGAAAACAGTCTCAGGTGAATGACGAGTTTCATACTTCTATTTGGATAGTGGGTTCAGGTATGTTTTCACCGACCGCCTCGCTCGAAAAAAAAGGATCACCATTGAAGTTGTATCATGTCGACAGATCGTTTACCGACACGGTTCTAGGTTGACAAATTGTGATCGGGGATACATCCCTCGAAGTGGCTACGCCACACTCAACATGCAGTCGTCACCGAACACGGTCAAAACAATAACGTTGTGTGACTCTCACAAGTATACGACAACCCGTTACATCGCTGCCATATACGCCCATTGTTAAAAATGCTGACTGTGACGCTTGCTAGCATTACGGCACCTCAGAGGCATCCTGGAGCGCCTGTTATGAAAGACGACCCTACCTCATCACATCTCCTCACCCTCCTCAATGTCCTCTCTCCTGCCACTTGTAGCCTTTCCTTAGTGTCCTGTGGAAGCCAATGCACCATGAGAGGTCATGGGCAGTTATCAAAGTTGAGGGTAACATAGGCCAAAATATATGTTGGAAATATGTCGAGGCACTAAGAAAATTGATATTATTATATTTCAATTTTCGTGATTAAATTTATACTTCTATAATATGATTGCATTAGCTCTTAAAATATTTCCATAGCCTCGGTATTAAGTCATGTGTGATTGAATGTCGTGTTCCAACAGACCCTGACGGGGAAACTGGACAGCATGACTCTGCTTGGTTGATGGGGGACAAATTATTGCAGGGCCCAAACGGCTTTCCCTGGAAACTCCATTTGCCCAGGGCATTTTCTGTTAAATTTGTACATGTATCATAGTTATTTTAAATTTCATAAAAAATATTGCAAGAAATCTTCGCAGCAACGCGCAGGGTATCATCTAGTATATCATGAATGAAGGCCCGAATTGTACAGTCTTGTTAAAATCAAGATATCCATGTGGTATGGACAAAGAGTAGTAGTCTTAACGAAAGACAACTTCGAACCGTGGATGGACAAGTTGCAGTAGATATCGCCTTTTGTGATCACAATGAATTAATTCGACACTTGCTCCTCTCTTACACACTTGAAATGCTCCTCCAGTGAGCCATCCATATTGCTTTCCATCTATCACGGCCGACATCAATAAGGAATATGTTTGGTAATTTGTTGAAAGAAATTCATCCTTGGCTCAAAGTGCACATCCGTGTTGCTGTGTGCATTTTTCTTTGGGCAATATGGAGATGTGAATGATCATGCTTTTAACTAGGCAAAAGTTTCAAAAAAATTTACAAGTCATCTTCCGAGCCACCAGTTTTTGGGTCAGTACAAGATGCTCTCTCCAGGATGTGGATGTGTGGGAGTCCATGGCTTTGGGTGCACCTGTTGGGAGATTATCGTCAGGGCTTTATTCGTCCATTTTGGATGACGATCTGGTGATAGGATAGCTGGAGATTAGGGGAACAAGTGGACGATGTAATGCTTTCTGTTTTCGTTGTTCTAGTTCGGCCCATGTATTTGAACTTTTCTCCTGCTTCGGACTTTGTTCTAAAATACTACGGGTGTTGGTCAGGGGGATTTTTCCTCCTTTCAGGGAAAAAAAGGATGAAGCAGCAATAATTCATATAGTATAGAAGTCAACAAGTAACTGACGCAAGGGAAACCTTCATGCCTTTGCACGAGGCCTTGACATACATATGTGACACATCTCCTGTTTTCAGAAGCTTATGGTCCAAGAAAGGGCGCCCAAGTACATTTTGGATGTTGTATAATGGCCATTGCTAGCCTTATTAATCTCACATATATGACCATTTTTTAGCAATTAATTCACCTTTGAGCAGCTGAGCCTGACCTGCCCCTGAGAGCCAGTCAATGGGCTGAGGTTCCCCATCTTCACCATGGCTGAGGCGAAGGCGCTGCTGAACGCCGCTGGGTTGCTTGCGAAGTTGTTGACCGTGTTGTCGGTGCCGCCGCCGGTGCCGGTGAAGAGCACCTGGTCGGAGTGCAGGAGACCCTTCTGGGACTTGAGGTTGCTGTAGTAGGCGTTGTCGAAGGAGTACGGGGTCGACACGTCCAGATTGGCCAGGTTGCGGTCGCCGGAGCCGGTCGGCTGGGGGCAGTTGGCCTTGAGCGACGTCGCGAAGCCGGAGTTGATGTTGGTCTCGTTGTAGAGTCTGTCCCTGAAGTTCTGGCACTACGCCTGCCCGATGGTGTGAGCGCCCGAGAGGGCGACCATGTCAGTCACGGTGAAGCCTTTGTCGCCGAAGGATTGGGTGAGGTTAACGAGGTCAAAGAATGGGGGAGGTAGGTCGGAGTTCGCCGCGGCTTCGTTTGCATTGGTGGAGTCCCTCCTTCCAAGAGGAACCGTCCACGAAGGCCCTCCTAACTGTACCAGAGGACAAAACAATATCCAGGGTGAGCAAATTATGTTAGAGTAATCTTGATGATTAAGTTGTGTTTAGCATGCGCTTAGTGCTAAGAGTCAAAGTCCAGTTGGAGTACTAGTGGGTTACGTACGTGGCTATTGCTATGTACTAGTCCTGCAAGTTGCCGTGAGTCAGCTCATGAGTCTGGTACGTGTAGGAGATTAGGAGTACAAATTATTGGTATTGTTTAGCGTGTCCGTGTATGCTTTTGGAGTCCAAAAGCAAGCCCGTGTAAGATAGGCTTTGTGTTGGGTCGGTTGGTTCTGCATATTTATATGCACGGCCGGCTAAAGTTTTTCGTGTGCGTGTTCTTCGTCTACTTTGATGTGATCGATCCTGTGGGCAGAATTCCAACAAATTAGCCGGTCTACTTGGTGGTGATCATGACGTGACACACGTTGGAGGTCTTACGGCGACGACAGAGTCGCGGGCAGCGACGGTGAGGATGTCGGCGCAGGAGACGGTCTGCTTGCACATGGTCTCGAGCTTCGCCTTGATGCTGTCGATGACTTCGAAGCCTCGCAGCGACATCACGTTCGGGAAAGCGTTTTGTTCCATGCTAGACAGCAGAACAGACGCGTCACAACCCTGCACATGTAGTTAAGCAGCATAATCAGGAAGCATGCATGGATAACTATGGACCCTAGTGTTTAACAAACAAAACCGGAATGAAAACAGGGAGCGTGCCGACTATCAGGTTATGTATTTGAAGAGCTTACTTGGACGAAGCAGTCGTGGAAGTGCAGCCGGAGCAGCGACGCGCCCATGCGGTTCTCCTTGTTGACGGCAGCCGTCACGGCGGCCTTGATAGTGGACAGAGCGTTCGGGCACGACGTTTGGTAGAACGTCGGCGACAACTGCGCCGACGCCGCCATGGCCAGGCACAAGAGCAACACGGTTGATAGAGACGAATGGGCCATGGCTTCTTGCTAGCCAACGTCTAGTGAGAGACACTAGCTTAATTGTGATAGGAAGAGGCGCTTGTACTGGATGCAATGCCCTGCCCTGCATTCCATGCAGATATATATATAGCCGCTCGCAGGCTTGGCAATTCTGGCACATGGCGATTGTAGTGGCCACACGCCCACTTCTGCCGTTGGGTTGCAAAATTTTCCTCTTTTACGGGGCCGTTATGGTGCAACTTGGTGCATGCATGGAATGATACTGCAAAGTCACAATCATCACTCATCAGAGGGATATTCGGGTGACTAAGTTCTTCTAGTATGGTAGAGTTATTTATCTAAAACCACCACACTTGGAGCTAGGATAACCACTTGGTACCACATTGAAGGCAGATCACAAAAAACCACCAAAAATGTGCCTAATGCGTAACGCGGAGCACTGATAGTCGGATAACCTCGTGAAAACAGTCAAACTGACTGGTTGGGCCCACCTGTAAGGCTGACGTGGATTGCCTATGTGGGAATTTTGCTGAGTTGGACCTAAGTCCCACCTGTTAATGACTAAAGTGTTTATTTTTTTTCACCTTTTCTTTTTTATTTCTCTCTCCTTTTCTCTGTGGGCATTTGACCGAACAGGTTGTGGGCGAGCACTGGACACGGACATCACCGGCGCCGCCACCACAGAGGACATGTGCAGCGGTAATGCCTGGCCAGCACCACTCCTGGTTGCCGCCGGCGAGCTCCTCCGGGAGACCAGCTCGCGTCCGCGGGCCGCGTCGTGGAAGCGTGGTCGCTCGTCCTCCGGTGGACGCGGACATGGCTAGGGCGGGATCTCGCCCGAGCTCAGCGTACGACCCCGCCTCCTCGCTTCCACTCCCGAGCGCCGCTGCTGCTGCGGAGCTCCACGCCGCCAACACCGACCGCCGCCGCCGGCACGGAATGAAGGGACGAGGCAGAGACACAGCAAGCGGGAGCAGCTTCGGCAGCAGGACGTGCGAGCTTGCTCCGCGCTCGCATCGCGCTCTCCCTGCCGCGCGACCCTGCCTCCTCGCTCCCACTCCTGAGCGCCGCCGCCGCCGCAGAGCTCCAGGCCACCAACACCGACCGCCGCCGCCGTTCAGTGACCGGAGCGCCGCCGCCATGCGCCTGCCCTACTATTTCTCTTCTGGCCAAGGGGGTGACGCGGACGAGCACCACTCCATCACCAGAGTGGCCTGCCTTTTTCAGTTATGGGAGGGCGGTGGCCTGCACCGCTCCAGGCTGCCGCCGGCGAACACCTCTCCACCGGAGCTCCCGTCATCTGCTTGACCGATTGAAGAGATGGGGAGGAAGAAGACAATGGATGGATGAGAGGTGGGACCTAGGTCCAACTCAGCAAAATTTCCACATAGGCATTCCACGTCAGGCTTACAGGTGGGCCCAACCAGTCAGTTTGACTGTTTTCGCGAGGTTATCCGACTATCAGTGCTCCGCGTTACGCATTAGGCACATTTCTGGTGGTTTTTTGTGATCTGCCTTCAATGTGGTACCAAGTGGTTACCCTAGTTCCAAGTGTGATGGTTTTGGGTAAATAACTCACTATGATAGAGCATGAGCTAGAGCTAGTATATAGCTTGACGCACGTGTGTGCAGCTTATTTTCTAACACATGACTGCTATTTTTTCTGCTATGCACATGGCCACACATGATATTCATTGATCGATGCTCTAGGTCGCCGCGGTTCATGGCTAGATATGAGCCCTAATGGAGCGCGAAACGAGATCATGGTTCTTCGTGCACCTACGTGGTGCACTGGTACTTTTTACTGGTAGTACTTTAATGCATGCGATATACTCCCTCTATTCCTAAATATTTGTCTTTGTAGACATTTTAAGTGACTACTACATACGAATGTATGTAGACATATTTTAGAGTGTAGATTCACTCATTTTGCTTTGTATGTAGTCACTTATTGAAATGCCTAGAAAGATAAGTATTTAGAAACGGAGGGAGTAGATCTCAGAAAATGTATGTGGTATTTCCAATATCCGTCGATCATGGGTTGAGATTTTTGCTGACGGTTGCAGCAAGTGGCTGGTCGTGCAAAAATCCCTCATCTATCTTCCCCTCTCAGACGATATCCATCGTCCTTCAAAATTCAATAGGATAAGATGGTTGGGCCGGGTACTCTGAATCCAAGATATTTAAGTCAGCAAGTAAGCAATTTTATGCACGCGAGCAAGAGAAAACAAATAGTTTTGTCCACTAGACACCCCGTATTGCATGCCAGCCATTCAGCAAGGGATTGGTCTTGGCTCGAAACTCTGTACATGGACTGGTAGCTGATTTCGTTAATCAAATGACCACGACATGCATGCACATACAAGTGGAAACCGAACGGTGCCGGCTGCTAGTCCTCAGATATGGATGCTGCATGTGTTTAGTCGTGTTTTGTTGACTGGGTTCTCCAAGAGTTCGTGCTCGGCGTTTCTCCTCGCGCAACGAGGCGGAGCGGCGCCACGCCACAGTCGCACCCTCACTGGAAGAGACGCCCACCAGACCGATGGGTATTTACGTGTGGGACCCCGCCGTCAGCATGACAGGTCGGACGAGTTCAAACTGTCTCATATCCGCCCTTCATTATTTATATATATGCTAGATATAAGGGGTACGATCAGCCCGACATTTGAGGCCAGTTTGAGACACCTGGATGAATTATTATGTTTTGACCGGTTAATGAGCAGGCCGATCGCGTGTGCGTTTCAAAGCGGTTTGAGACATCCGGCTATAAGTGCTCTAATTTCCTGAAGAGTTGACCATCCAATGTCTTTTTTAGGATGGATTAGAGTCGCTCTTAAGAGCATCTCCAACAGCCGTGCAATGCGCCGCGTCTTAAAAGTCAGAATACAGCGCGGGGTTAGCCAGCTTTTACGCGCGACGGTGTGCTGGCTTCAGCGGCCGCTGCAAATTAAAACACGCCCGAGCCGCTCCAGTAGGCGCGCTATATTTCATCTGTTTTTTCTTACTACGATTTGATAGTTCATAGTTTGTCCGACTCGAACTCTGTCTGCTTCTACAATAGCCTACTTCTACGATACAAAATCAGTTTTGCTAAAGCACATCTAGATGTGCCATAAGTATTGCACATCTAAGTCATATGTCATTGATCTTACATTGAGATTCGTGTAAATATTTTCTTTTTCTCTTTATTCTTAATTCACTCACTTAGATGTGCAATAACTAAAATTCATCTAGATGTGCCCTAAACACCCTACAAAATAAAACGAAAAACTAGTATTACTCGTCCGACTCGGACTCTGTCTCGATGATGTCCTCGTCCGACGTATGTGCGTAGGCGTCAAGGAACCGCTCGTCGCCAGAGTCCCAGGAGGACGCGTCTCCTAGCACGATGTTGTATTTAGCTACCACCCTCCGCGTTCGCTTGTCCTCGCGATACGCGGCTCGCTCCTTCCTCCTCTTCGCCCTCTTCGCCCTCCTCTGGGCGAAAAACTGTTCCTCGTTGGTGTCTTCCGGGAAGCGATGGCTCCACAGCGCCATGGCTTGCTCGTCCATCTCGGCCAGCCTGAGACGACGCTCCCGCCTCCGGTGCTTGCAACGATCCTCGTCGGTGAGAAGCCGCGGGAAAGGCGTCAACTCTCGTGCCTGCTCCCACGTCGCCACGTCGGCGAAGTTCATATCCTAAGGGGGCCACAGGAGGCGCCACGCCGCAGCGTAGTACGCGCGGGCGCCCTCTTGGGTGGTGTCGAAGGTTCCGAGGCGGAGGAGCATGCCGCCGCCCGACCGAATCTCGACGGAGTAGGTGCCGGACGGACGCACGCGGACGCCGCGGTAGCACGAAACTCCCCGGCGGTGAGGCGGCATGGTGGCGCGGTGATGGCGTGCCGGCGGCAAAGGGCGGTAGAGGGCAATGGAGAGATGGAGAGAGCGGCGGAGGGTGCTGCAATTTATAGACGCGCCCAACGTGGCGCGCCAAATTAGCGCGCGAGTTGCTGCCTTTTCCCTGCACGCGCAATCGTTTCCCGCGCGCTAATTTACCGCTACCGCTGTAGCGCGTGAAAACGTCCCGCGTGGGCTAAAATGCCAATTTACCACGCATGCGTCTTTTGACGCGGCTGTTGGAGATGCATGCTCTAAGCGTTGAAATCATTCCATATGATCTGCCGCATGGTGGTGTGCACCGATGAAAACCCATGACTTTTCTAACTAAAAGTGTAGAGTTCGTCAGAAACAAAAGTGCTTATGTGCAAGTGGGCATGATTAATAAGCAAAGAAAAAATACGTATGCAACTCGTCCATTTGCACGACGGCCCCTTGAGATACTCGGATACATCACATGACACTCCATCTTCCCACACTTGATGATGATCCGAGAAATGGCACAACGTTCTTGCACATGATCAGTACAAGTACAATAACTCCACAGCCTTATTATGTCCGCCTTTGATCGCCCCGGATTTTAGGCCGGTAGCTTAGTTCACCCTGGAGCAGCTGAGCCTGACCTGCCCCTGCGTCCCGGTGAGCGGGCTGATGTTCCCCATCCTGACCATGGCCGCCCTGAAGTCCCTGTTAAACTGCGCCGACCCCGACGAGTACGTCCGGACCAGGCCCGCGGTGCGTCCGTCGTTGATCAGAACCTGGTCAGAGTGCAGGAGCCCCTTCTGTGACATCAAGTTGCGGTAGTACGCGTTGTCGAACGCGTTGGGCGTCGTCGTGTCCAGCGGTGCCAGGCTGCTGTCGCCGGACCCGGTCGGCCGGGGACAGTTGGCCTTGAGAGATGTTGCGAAGGCCGTACCGATGTTGGTCTCGTTGTAGAGCCTGTCCCGGAAGTTCTGGCACTGTGCCTGACCGATGGTGTGGGCGCCAGAGAGGGCGACCATGTCGGTCACGCTGAGCCCCTTGGCGGCGAAGTTGGCCGTGAGGTTGGCCACGTCGAAGGATGGCGGCGGAAGGTCGCTGTTGGCCAGAGACAAGCTCGCCGTCGTCGAGTCCCTCCTTCCCAGAGGAACGGTCCACGAAGGCCCTCCCAACTGCAAGCAAATAATAAAGAACTAATAAGTTGCTTAATTTACTGTCGCATGCGTTCAGCAAATTGACTGCAGCGGCGCCGGATCGATCTTACGGTGACGACGGAGTCGCGGGCGGCCACGGCGAGGATGTCGGCGCACGAGACAGTCTGCGTGCACACGGCCTCGACCTGCGCCTTGATGTTGTCGATGACGTTCATGCCACGAATTGAGCCGGCGTTCGGAGCTGCCCCCTGCTCGCCGGTGAAGCTGGCGGTGTCGCTCAGCAGTACGGACGCGTCGCAGCCCTGATGCATCGATTGTCACACACATAAGAAATTACTTCCGTCAACACAAATTCAGTACATTATTCCCTTAGTTGATTTGAACTGAAAAGTCACTGTCAAAGTGCCAAGAAAAAAATAAATTGGAAAGTCACTGTCAAGTGAAGAGTCTAAAGAGGAGTAATGCTACATCTGCGTAAAACAACTTACGTGATTTACGTAGCGGGGCAACAAGAACATATAGGAAGGTATGTTAACCTGTAGGTAGGTGAGTCATTCTTAGATCTAGGATTATCGATCTAAAGAGTGTCAACTTATCACTAGTTAGGTACACATGTAGTGATCCACGCCACTAACTTATTGATAGTGTAATGACTTTGACTACAGTTTAAACTGAGACCTTCTAAATTAAGTACTCCCTCTAATCCACTAAATCAACGACAATTAATATGAATTGGAGAGATTAGCAGCAGTATATGCAGTAGAAACTACAGTAAGTAAAGAGAGAAGGCGTGAGGGACTTGCTTGGACAAAGCAGTCGTGGAAATGCAGCCGGAGCAGCGACGCTCCCATGCGGCGCTCACTCCTCACGGCGGCCGCCACACCCCTCCTGATGATGGCCAGCGCCCTGGGGCACGACGTCGCGTAGAACCTAGGCGAAAGCTGCGCCGAGGACGATGCCGCCAGGCACAGGAGCAACAGCACCGACAGAGAAGAGGCCATTGCCATTGCCATCAGTGTACTTCCGTATGCAAGCAGGCACTAATCCTGTTGAGATGAAAGCTCTATGCAATGGCCTGCATTACCATGACTACATACATCCGTTTATATAGCTGACAAATTTCAAGCGATTGTGCAGCCCGTGACAGTCCATTTGGTGTAACATGACAACCGGTACTGTCTATTTTGGTTGGAGAATGGATATAGTACGGTTGGTATGGTGTTCCTAGTGCAACGCAACAATGAACAATGGGAAATCTATTGGCTAGCTAGTAGGCTAGGGTTGTGGTAGCGGTACCACAAGCTCAGAATTATCGTAGCTCACCAAATTGTGTCATACTTCTGTTAAGGAAAAATGACTTGATATACATCCCTCGAGGTAAATAATATCAGTTATTTACCAAGTGAGCTATCGGGTTTGGGTTCTTTCAAATTGATGTCTAAATTTATTGGTATTATCAGTTGTCTGGCACTTCTTATGTGTAACGTATACATGGTTCAAATGTCAGGATTATGTTCTACTCCTTTTTGCTAAAAATATTAAGAACTAAGGTTTAAATTAGTTAGTTCAACTGATTGTGTCATTTGAAGTAGTAGATACTTATCACATTTTAGAAGCTTCTTTCTTTACGTAATTTTTTTACTAGGTTGCTAACATAGGAGGGGTCATACTATGTTTTCTTTAGCAGTGCTTGATTTAGCCATATGTTTCTCAATTGTTTGTTCTTGCATTGACTATAAACCCTACTCACTATGGATAGTGTGCGAATCAAAGCTGCTCGATAAGTAGTTACTATAAATAGTGTGGGGTAGAAAAATAATTTATGTATGCTAATATATCTCATGCTACCAACTTAAGTGTCTGTTTCTACACTTGGTGACACTATTTCGATATCCAGTATTACTCAGGCATTGCAATACACTGCACTCAGATGATTTTGTCGGTAGGAAATTTGAAGCTCCATGATTTGGCAAGATTATTTGTGCAAGAAACTATGTATGTCTTGAAGTTTTCCATCTCAATTTTAGTACTTGTGTTGAACAAGGGGAAGCCTAGAATTCGCTTCAGAGACGGAACTCGTCAATATAGAAGAGTAACACCTGGACATAATCAAATCTGTTCGGAGAAGCCTATTGTACCTTCTTCCTGATTGCCCAATGCAGATGACTAATGCTGCCACTCACTTGCCATGTTTTTAAAGATCACATGTGCAACACAACTATGCAAAGGGAATCTCGTGGAGGGGGCGAACAAAACATATTTGTGGGGTTGAAGGAGCACATGAAATTAGATATTTTTTTGAGGGTGGAAATTGAAATGCATGCTTGGAAAAACATATTTAGAGAAAAGCGAGAGATAGACAAGAACTATTTGTCACAACATAGTGATATGCATGTGATGTACACTTTGCATATAATCATATTTCGATATATGTTTCCATAGATAAGTTTGTTCTTTCATGGCAGCGCAAGGGCATTCAAGTAGATTTACCTTTTCTCGAAAAGGGGGGCTCCCCGGCCTCTGCATCAGAGTGATGCATACGGCCATCTTATTAACCAAATAACAAAATGTGCCAACAAGGTTCCAAAGTCTCCATCTTAAAGAAAGAAAAAAGATAAATGCAGCTCACACAGAGCTAAAAGAGGCTATACACACAGACTAGCCAGGGAAAGGTGCCACAACCGACTGGCTATAAAAGATAGGAAAACTAATTGCCTATCCTATTACATGACCGCCATCCAAACCGATTAAAGATATCCCGAGCTATCATCTCCCAACGGATAGATCCAGTAACCAAATGCTCCCTGGCCTCCATCGGAGTGAGTAGCCACCACGAACGGATTAGTGCCGTAGCTCAGAAAATAACTTGCAAGAAATAAAACCGTGATGTTCTGTTAAAAACCAAATCATTTCTGCAATTCCAGATGGTCCACAACAGAGCGCAAACTCCAATCCGAATATGTCTTGCTAAGTCTGGCTCAACCCCATTAAGCCATGTCTCAAATAATGCATTGACCGAAGTCGGTGGAGTAATATTAAAAGCAATATGGACCGTCCGCCAAAGAACTTTGGCCAACGGGCAATCAAAGAATAAATGCTTAATCGTCTCATCCCGATCACAGAAACTACACCTAGTAGGTCCTGTCCAATTACGCTTGATCAAGTTGTCCTTTGTTAAAATAACTTGTTTATGGACAAATCACATAAACACTTTAATTTTTAAAGGAACTTTGACAGCCCAAACATACTTGGAAGTTGGAATAGCATTCGAATTAATAACATCAATATACATTGATTTGACTGTAAATACTCCAGAACTAGTCAACTTCCAGCGTAATACATCGGGTTGGTGAGAAAGTTGAACCTCCATCAGTCTCCTAACTAGATGGAGCCATTCTTCCCAACAATTGCCCGCTAGCGACCGTCTAAACTGAATATTAAGGGGGGCAGATTGAAATACCATTGCCACGAACACCTCACGTCGTTGAGCGATCCGATATAAAGACGGATATTGAATGGCTAAAGGTGCGTCTCCAAGCCAAGTATCCTCCCAGAAACGTGTACTTGTACCATTTCCAATAACAAATCTCGTCCTATTGAACATTGATTGTTTGACTTTCATTAGTCCTTTCCAGAAAGGCGAACCAGTCGGCCTGACTGCGACCTGGGACAATGTTTTAGTCTGGAGGTACTTGTTGCGGAGGATCTGCGCCCACATGGCCTCAGTTCCGGAAGAAAGCTTCCACAACCACTTACTAAGAAGGCATCTGTTCTTAACTTCAAGATTTTCAATACCAAGGCCCCCTTGGTCTTTCGGTCTACAGATGATGTCCCATTTAGCAAGCCGGTATTTTATTTTAAGTTCATCACCCTGCCAAAAGAAACGTGACCGATAGAAGTCCAGTCGTTTCCTAACACCAACTGGGACCTCAAAGAACGATAAGAGAAACATAGGCATACTCGTGAGCACCGAATTAATCAATATCAAACGGCCTCCGTATGACATGAGCTTACCCTTCCAACAGCTTAGTTTTTTCTCAAAGCGATCCTCGATGCACTTCCATTCTCTGTTTGTTAGCCTACGATGCTGTATCGGAATACCAAGGTAGGAGAAGGGTAAACTCCCCAACTCGCACCCAAACAATTGCCTATAAGAATCCTGGTCTTCTTTGGCTCTACCAAAACAGAACAACTCGCTCTTATGAAAGTTAATCTTTAACCCAGTCAATTGTTCAAAAAGGCATAACACTAGCTTCATATTTCTCGCCTTGGCCAAATCATGCTCCATAAAGATGATTGTATCATCTGCGTATTGAAGGATGGATACACCTCCATCAATGAGATGAGGTACCAAACCACCTACTTGACCATTCTCCTTAGCCCTTCCTACCAAAATTGCTAACATATACACCATAATGTTAAACATGATAGGGGACATCAGATCTCCTTGTCTGAGGCCTTTATGTGTCTGGAAGTAATGACCTATATTGTCATTCACTTTAATTCCCACACTCCCTTTTTGCGTAAAGGATTCGACCTGTCGGCGCTAGGCTTCATCAAAACCTTTCATACGCAATGCCTGTTGGAGGAATGGCCACTTAACCTTATCGTACACCTTTTTGAAATCCACCTTAAAAATTACTCCATCTAATTTTTTGGAATGGATTTCATGGAGCGTTTCATGAAGAACCACCACCCCTTCAAGGATGTTCCTGTCCGGCATGAAAGCAGTTTGGGATTGTTGCACCACATACTACGCAATCTGTGAGAGCCTATTGGTCCCGACCTTGGTGAAGATTTTGAAACTAACATTGAGGAGGCAGATCGGTCTGAACTGCTCAATCCTCGCAGCATCCGCTTTCTTAGGGAGCAATGTGATAGTTCCAAAATTCAAGTGAAATAATTGAAGCTGTCCAGAGAATAGATCATGAAACATAGATAGTAAATCCCCCTTAATAATGTGCCAGCACTTTTTATAGAACTCGGCCGGGAACCCATCCGGACCGGGGGCCTTATTGTTTTTCATTTATGCAATAGCATCAAACACCTTCTTTTCTGAGAACGGGGCAACCAGGATATCATTATCAGCAGCAGATAACTGAGGCACGTCCTCAATCCTAGACTCATCGAGGGACACACAATTGTCCTCCGGAGGTCCAAATAACTGTCTATAATACTTGGTAATATAGGTTTTGAGATTATCCTGACCTAAAATAGTACCCTCATCCTGTTCAAGATGAAAGATCCGCTTCTTTATGTGCTTACCATTAGCAATGAGGTGAAAGAATTGAGTATTTGCATCCCCTTGGACCACTTTGCGGACCTTAGCTCGCAAAGCCCACTTCAATTCTTCTTCGTGGAGAAGTTCTTTCATCCTCTTCTCTGCCTCATTTTTGACCTGGAGCTCAGGAGGCAGCAAAATCGCGGATTCGGCTTTTATGTCCAGGGCCTGTACAAGAGAGAGGAGCCTATCCTTCTCGATCTTATACACCCCACTGAGGTGCTTAGCCCAACCCCGTACGAAACTTCTCAAATGCCTAATTTTATTCTGCCAGCGCTCGACCGCCGTCCTTCCTCCTACACCCTTTGCCCATTCCCTGGCTATGAGGTCTAGGAACCCCTCGCGTTCGAACCAGGCCATCTCGAATGAGAAGGTGTTTTTGTTTCCCATATGGTTCGGCTCCCCTGAGTCTACGAATAATGGTGTGTGATCTGAAATTCCCCGCGTGAGAGCTTACACCGTAACAAGAGGAAACTTCTGTTCCCACTCCACGCTGGCAAGAACTCGATCAAGCTTTTCATATGTCGGGTTTGGCAGAGCATTAGCCCAGGTAAACTTTCTATCAGAAAGCTCTATCTCCCTCAGATCCAAGCTTTCAATAATGGTATTGAACATAAACGACCACCTGCCGTCAAAGTTATCATTATTTTTCTCCTCTCTCCTCCTAATGATATTGAGATCACCCCCGACCAAAATCGGAAGCTGTTCGGACCCACAGAT